TTGGCTACTTAACTAATTCAAGCCTGTCTCAAAACATAAAACTGCCCCTTTAAGACAAAAAAAAAGCTATTTACCTGACTTTCTTTTAAAGATGTTTAGAAATGTACACGTTTTGTGCTCTTGTAGGAAGCAATCACTCCCCTATTGCTGACTTCGAATTATCTATAACTGGGCTAATAACTCCACTAACTAGCAAAAGATATGAACAAAATGTGCAGATGTGGCTACATGCAGCTCTTGCTTTGATCTCAAAACAAGCGTCTACTCACGACCACAACTGTTAACACAGTCCAGTTCAAAGTAAATGGTACAGATCCATATATGGCAATGGTCTATTTGCGTACAGACCTACTGCAGCTCTGATTGGTTATGCCGCACCGGTCTGTGTAGAGTACGGGTGAGTCATGCACAATAGATTCCTACTCCGATGCGTTCTGCTTACAACAAAATCTGCATAGTTCGTTTTGTTTCGGTATGTTGCATTGAAAGTGGCTAATATTGCGTTGATCCGATCACAATTGCCACAGTAAAGGGAAACATTGATAGTGTTAACAGGGTTAACTCTAGAAAGTTGAGTGAAGTTTAATCTCGTGCTTCTCTCTGTGTGCTGATATTTCTTCTGCACTCCGTGCGGCAGTCCCGGGGAGTGGCAGTCTCGGGCTGCCCTGCGCACCCGCGCAGCTTAGAGGGAACATTGCCGATGAGTGTCCGAACTGTGCGCCAACTGCTTGAACGGACAGTTCGGTACCTTCAACCCATCAACACCTTGCACAAAGACCAATAGTGATGCAGTCAATCTCTCCTCAACTTTGAGTCAGGAGAGATTGACATTCGCCCTCTGTGTACATCAAAGTGCAATACGTGCTCCTCTGTTCTGGACCAGCTACAATTTTCCTATGCCCTTTTTTACCGCACATGACCACACAACAAGGCAGTAGCCCAGGTGCGACAAAACTAGGGCCTGTAGGACCTGCCTGGTTGTTTTAGATGTCAAGAAAGCAGAGCAACGCCTTACCATGGACAGACCTCTTTCCATTTTTGCAACCTTTGAGTCTATATGTTTTGACCATGACAGCTTGCTATCTAGGGTTACACCGAGCAGTTTAGTCTTCTCAACTTGCTCAATCGCCACATTATTTAGTAATAGATCTTAATGAGGTTTAGGGTTGAGTGAGTGATTTGTCCCAAAAACAATGCTTTTAGTTATTGAGATATTTAGCACCAGCCTTTTGCTAGTTACCCATTCTGAAACCGACTAGAGCTCTATGTTAAGGGTGTCAGTTATTTATTTTACTGTCGTGGCTGAGGTGTATACGGTTGAGTCATCAGCGTACATAGACACACAGGCTTTAATCAAGGTCAGTGGAAGGTCATTAAGTAAAAACAGAAAACAATAATGGCCCAAGCTGGTTGCCCTGTGGTACACCACACTCAACCGAATTTGCATTAGAAAGGCTTCCATTAAAGAAACCCCTCAGTTCTATTAGATAGGTAACTCTCAATCCATGATAAGGCAGAGGATGTAAATCCATAACACCTACGTTTTTTAAGCAATAGGTTATGATAAATTATATCAAAAGCTGCCTCCCACCAGGCCTGAGGGCACACCGTCTGCTAGGCTTAATTCGAAGATGTGGCAAACAAGAGTCACAATGTATTCCACTACCAACTTCAGCAATTTACCATCCAAGTTGTCAGTACCAGGTGGCTTGTCCTTATTTTATAGATAACAAAAAACAACTCTTCCACACCAACTTTGTTGAACTCAAATCTACAGTGCTTGTCTTTCATTATTTGGTCCGTTATGCATGAATATGAAGGCTCAGCATTTGTTGTTTGACTGTCATGCCTAAATTTGATAATCTTGTCAACAAAAAAGTTATTAAAGTGGTTGGCAATATCAAAGGGTTTTGTTATGAACAAGCCATCTACCTCAATGAAGGATGGAGCCGAGTTTGCTTTTTGGATAGAATTTAATTAAAGTTACTCCAGAGCTTTTTACTCTCATTCTTTATATAATGTATCTTTGTTCCATACTATAGTTTCTTCTTTTTGTTTAGTTTAGTTATATGATCTCAATTTACTGTATGTTTGCCAATCTGCTGTGTTGTCAGACTTATTTGCTATTCCCTTTGCCTCACCCCTCTCAGCTATACAATTTTTAAATTCATCATCTATCAATTTTCTTGGGTGCATGCCTATCAGTAACCGGAAGAAACAATTTCATAAATGCTTCAAGTGCGGGGTTGTTCCTTATTATACACATCGGACCAACAAATATTTTTCACATCTTTGACATAGGAATCATTGCAAAACCTCTTGTATGATCGCTTATACACAATTTTAGGTCCAGTCTGTGGAACGTAGTTTTTTTTCTAGATATGGCTATTATATTATGATCACTACATCCGATGGGTGTGGATACTGCTTTAGAGCAGATTTCTGCCGCATTAGTAAAAATGTGGTCAATACACGTGGTTGATTTAGTTCCTGTTCTGTTTGTAAATACCCTGGTAGGTTGACTGATAACCTGAACCAGATTGCGGACATCGGTTACAGCGTGAAGCTTCTTTTTGAGTGGACAGCTTGATGACAACCAGTCAATATTTCGGGTCACCCAGAAAATATACCTCTGTTGATATCACATACATTCATTATCAAGCATTTCACACATATAGCGCAAATACTAACTTTTAGCCTTCTGTGGTCTATAGCAACTTCCTACGAGAATAGGATTTCGGTGAGGCAGATGAACCTATAGCCATGTTACTTCCACATCATCTGACATGAGATCCTCTCTCAGCCTAACAGGAATATGACTGAACATATATAGCAACAACACCTACATTTGCATTTCTATCTTTCCTGTAAATGCTATAACCATGTATAGCTACACTGTAAACCCGAATAAGTAAGCAGAATTTTAAAAAAGGTGAGGCAATCAGTTGCCACAATTTTTTTGAGTTCATAAACTCAAACATTTGAGCATATCATCGCTTATATATTTGGAGTTCATGTTAAATGTAATTTTAAATTATAATTAAATTAACTGATTAAGCCAACTCAAACATTTTCAGTTTATGCTACTCAGAATATTTAGTCATCTTTCTCATTGCAATAACTCAAGAGAACTTAATAATTTCAAGCATGAAAACTCAGGATATTTATGTTTCATTAACTTAACATTTATTAGTTTTTTCAATCAATCTTCTGATTACCCATAACTCAAAAAACACACTTGTTACAACTCAAAATAATTTACCACCAAACTTAAATATTTGTGGCAACTGATTGCCTTAAAAATAATAAGTACTCTTGACTTAAGTCAAACAAAAAAACATCAAATTAAAAGTAAATATTTGTTCTATTCAGATGTTTAGTATAAACTTTTCTTGCCCAGTCTTTTAGCAAAAAAATATATGAAAAAAAAAAAAAAAAAAAAAAAAAAAGACATAAATAAAAATTAACAAGTCTACTTCTGGGAGTTTGTTTATACTTTAAGATGAACTATGTAATAGTAGAAAATATTCAAACTCAGAAAAGCTCAAATTACATCAAGAAAATCTCATTATGTCACAAATAGCTTATAAACTGTTAATACAACATTACCAGGGAGGGCATCAGCAAGTCTTGGGTGGTGACCAAAAATTTGAGTTTAGAAAGATTATTTGCCCACACCTGTGCCTTTTAGCACAAAATGAAACAATCTATTTAATAATAATAGTAATAACAATAATAAAAATAATTAAGAATTAAAAAGAGAATTAAATAAACAATTACAAAGGCACACTTTTGGCCATCTGGTTGTAAACTTGCAGTGCAGCAATGTATAAACAAATTGCTTGTAAATTCTTCACAACTAAAACTGCTAAAATTTCAAAACGGTACATTAACATGTACAAAGGCAGTGTTTAGCCTTCCTTTGGCTATCTGGTTCAAATCTAGCAACTTCAGGGTGCACTGTATAGTTTTAGAAAATTAATTCAAACTCGAAAAGCAAAATTAACAATATTAATAAGACAATAAAAATTATTTTATCAATTTCCATAACTGAATAAACATCCCATCCTCAGAAGAAAATAAAGTCCCTATAACACTGTTTCCAACTAGAAAGGTGGCTACTTTACTAAAGTAAAGTAGCCTGAAACTTTGACAGTTTATTTATTTATGAAAATGTATCAATGAAGAGCTTTCCTTTCTGATAAAAATGTACTTCCCAAAACTATATAGTACACCTTTTAAAAACAAAATGCCATAGTGTATAAATATGGAGGATATATTTATTCATAATTCAAATTGAAAGTCCAAAGAGAAAACGAAGCAAGATCAAATTAATAGTATTATTTTACTACGCTACTAGGAAAAATCATGCCATAATTAAATGTATGATGTAAAAGCTTAAATGGAAATACTTCATTTAAATCTAAAATAAAAATAAATATTTATAATTTTCAATTTGACATTTTCTCTTTTGAATTTTACGTTTTACATTTGACATTGACATTTTCAGATTCACCTTTTACATTTTGATTTAACATTAAGCTTTTCATTTAGAAGTGACAGGTGTCAATTTAAATGAGGAGGCGTGGCCCAACGGCTGGTGGGAGGGTCTGAAACGACTTCCAGCTGACAGTTGAAGCTTTGCATTTTAAATTTGACTTTTTAAATTGAATTATGGCATGATTTTTCCTAGTAGTGTAGTAAAATAATATTTTTAATTTGATCGCTTTGTTTTCTCTTTGGCCTTTCAATTTGATTTATGAATAAAAATATCCTCCATATATAAACACTTAATTCAACCCTGAATTTCAGTTTAACAACAATAAAATGTACAAAAGACAGTGTGTACTTTGTGCCATTTGGCTGAAAACCAGTTGAGTAGAGCAGCAACTTTAACATAAACAGTATTCAACATGGACCTGACATGACATATTCTCATTGTGGACTATGCTCTAACAGAGTGAGCCATCAGAATCCACCACTCCTTTTTGGATCTTCAGTTACACATACAACATCAGCTCATTTTTAAGAGTCTGCAGCTTGGGTGACAGTTTAGAGTCATCAAGACCAAGTAAGATTTTCTGTGTGAACTCAAAAGTGTTTGTCAGTCCCTTGGGATAGCTGAGATGTAGTGCATAAATCAGGCCGAACATTACCAGGAAGGCATCAGCAAGCCTGGGGAGATTGACAACCACATCACCCTCTAGGACGACAGAGACTCTCACTGGGTGGTAGTGAACTGGGCTTGTGGCATCATCACTGACTGTTGTAAGGAGGACCACTGATGCATCCCCCAGGTCTGGCTCATCCATATCATCCTTTAAAAAAATGAAAGGGAGATCATATACTAATCACATTTACTGAAACTATGGCTGTGGCAATTTTGATTACAGTTGGATGTAGGGGTGGAACGGTACATGTATTTGTATTGAACCGAAATGGTACGGGCGTCTCGGTACGGTACATGAATTTACACGAAGAATACACGGTATAAAAATAAATAAAACTTGAGTGCAAATTAATTAATGTAATGCGGAACTACTGTTAGACACGCGGTTCTTTAGGGACACCTAATCTGTAGCCCTGCCCTTAGCTCTGAAGCTCCCGAGCCCCGCCTACATGTCGAGTCAGTCAGTCCAAATGAAGCGAACTAGTCCCTTCCAAATACAACCAAACACGGACGTAGCTGTATCCCTTCTCGCCTCGACCACAAATGGCCTCCAGGCCCGTTTGATTCGCCGTTTGCTCCGGTATTAGTTGTTAGCTCCGCCGTTAGCTGTTAGCTTCGCCGTTAGCGTGTTAAGCTAACACAAACTCGTCAACTGCTCTGTGTAACCGAAGCTGCTCTTTTAACATCCCTGCTCTGTGCATTCACATATGAGAGCAGCGCTTGTCTCCCATATCACACTACTAGCTGATTGTCTTATTTTGTTTACAAGTTACAGATGGAGTCTGGAGATGATGCAGGGTACTTATTGTTTACATCTTACTTTATACACTTCAAGCTGTTACAGCTAGCTCAGTGGACAGCCTGAGACATGCACAATAAAAAAAAAATCCTTCTGCATTTTTGTTTTGCTTTCCCCTCCATTGTACCAAACCGAACCGTGATGTCTGAACCGAGGTATGAACCGAACCGTGACTTCTGTGTACTGTTCCACCCCTAGTTGGATGTCATATAAATAACAATAAATACACAAGTCTGAAAGACTGCTGTTCATTCTGCTGCGTTGTGCTCTCGTTGCTGAGAAAGTGAGATTACTTATGTGTTCCACTGTGAGGCTAATGACGGCTACTTGATTTTCTTTGCAGTTGATTTTTTTGATGCTGTAATGGGCTCAAAATGACACTTCACACTTATAAACATCTTGCCAGAGGTTTGTAGTTGAAACACTGGTACATATACAGAAATTCTAGTGTGTTGGAAATGAAATTAAGATATGAATTTGTTAATTTACAGTACAATAGGCCTGATATCTCTTTACTGGGACTTACCACACATGTTCTGAAAAATCCAGAGAATTATCTAGTAGATAATCAGGAAGGGCATGGAGAACAGTGGTACGCCTTGTGTGGACATCATGTAATTCCTAAGAAGATTAAAATAGTGTTGTGACAAGTTTACTAATCAAACCCAATGACAAACAGTCCCAACTAATTATTAATTAATTAACTAATTACCAATATCTGCACATAAATCCACTAATAACCTGCTGACTGGTGCAATTGTGGAATTCAAAAGCTTATTTGAAGCATTAAACTCCCAACATTACACTAAGACTCTACCTGTGAAATGTATAATCACCTGTGTATCATGGACTTTGAAAATGTTTGCCAAAGCATCTGCAGTCTTTCCAGTTTTGGAAGCTTTCTGTCTAAATAAGGCCATCAAACGAGGAGTGTGGCGATCAAGCTCGGCATAGAAAGTGTTAGGTAGGTTCTGGTTAGTTATCTGTTGGAACTCTGCATATACCTCCATTGAGGAAAGGACAGTAACAGCAATTACTTATTTTATGATGAATGAAATTAGGCAACATTACACACAATGTGACATACAGTAGCAAAGATAAAAACAGAAAAAAGAACCTACAAAATGAATTTATTTATTAAATTGATGATGATTTTACCTCAGACTGCATATGAAGAGCAGGCCAGAGGTCCATTAGCTCTTTCACCGGTGGGCAGGACATTATAATAGTCTGTCGTCGCAAGGCAAACGTGTTCAGCATCATCTTACTAATAAGGGGTAGGTTTCTCCCAGTCTTCTTTACTTCCTCAACAATAGCCTGCCTCAAAAAGGTCAAGACTTGTTGACCTCTGCACACTTAGGCCTTTTGATGTTGGAGTGTGAAGGTTCATTCTCAGGGTTTTTTCGGCTTCTTTTCCCAGCATTTACAGCGACCTCCTGACATCCAGCCCTTCTCATCTTGGTCCTGTAATTGCCCATTTTAAACTTGATGCTGTTCTTCCAGCCATTCCATCCATTGTCAGATCCTACTTCTTTTAAACAGGGGTGTTTCCTCACAAGAGCTTCAGCCACCATTGCTATCTCTTTATCACTGGGGTAAGCCTTAAAACCATATATGGTAGATGCCAGTTTGTCTAAAATATTGTGCTTTTGGTCCCTTGACAACTGAATAATGAATGAATGTATGGCAAAACAAACACTGCATGTTTCCTAAACTTATCAGGCAGGTTTCCAGGATGCCAAGTAGCTTACTCATTTCAATGTAACAATTGCCGATGAGAACCGGTGTCAAAAAAAATTAAAATCACAGACTTCATGATCGATTACCATGGCAACGAACGAAGCTTTGATTTTTTTGGGTCAGCCCTAATGTTGATTTATATAATGATTGATTATACTGAGCACATTTTCCAATAAATGAACAATTAATGATTTTATGAAGAATTACTTACCATAGAGTGGTCTTAATTTTGTCTCACTTGTATGAACCTCTTGGGAGTCAACAGCAGCAAGCCATCAATCTTGTATGCAGAGAGTGGGATTGTATCATTGAAGTCAGATTGCAGGTGGATAGACAGGCTTCCCTGTATGGCTGAGTTTCTCATAGGATCGAAGATGCTCTACATACCAGGAGTCTAGTGTGCATTGCTGATCTATACTTGGGCGGCACATTTGCTAGGACCCAGTATACAGCACAAAATTTGTGAACTTTACGTGATGTGCCGAGAGGGTTAGCGATTTCAAGATCGTCAATATATAGCTGTATTGCTAGGTGTAGATCTTCTGTTGAGAGTAACTCATTTTCCTGGAAATTAGAGCCATCACGATATGACACATAATAACCAGGCTCAGTGTTTGGTTCTCTGATCTTGCTCAGGATATCTGTGTTTTTAAACAGCTCCTGAATCATTTGAAGGATTGGAACATACATGATGGTATGACCAGGTGCTTCTAAATGGTACTCTACTGGCATTACCAATGGATAGTTGTGCTCTATAAAGGTCTTCCTTCGCTTATATGAGGACAACTCTGCACCTTTGGAGGTTGCACTAAATACAACAGAGTCCATGACAGCACTGACAACTTCATTGAGTGTGGAATCTGTGATATTGTGACCATGTCTCTGCAATTTATCATTAATTGCATCCTTGATCAATGGCTGAGATAAAGAGAAGATCTGATTCAAGAGATCAACTATTTCTTGTGAAGCTGTGTTTGACACATGAAGGATAGCCTGCATCTTTAGAAATAAAGATGCTGCATTAAGTTAGATTTTTTTGTTTTTAAGTATCACACTGCTCATCATCCTGCATTTCTGTGCTCTGAACTGGACACTCTTCATCCACATCAATAGTGACGTTAGAGTTGGTGGCTTGGAGATTCTGAGTATGTTCATAGACAATGTCACTACCAAAGTCTGATGCAATACTCGCTTGATACACTACTTTTATGGGAATTAAAAGAAGCGTATACATTTGTGCTATAGTTACAACCTTTGTATGGGCATACCACTGCCTCATGCTTTTTTAAGTGTGTTCTTATGTGACTGAGGAGTACAGACTCAGAAAAAGGTTGCTGAAATGTGCATAAAGGACACTTGAAAGTCACAAGTTCCTGAATCTCCTTTGCATTGCTGTTGTTATGTTCTTGAGTATGATATCTTGACAGATGAGTACTCAGTGCACTAAGTGTCTGAAATGTGCACATGCAATCATCGTGGAGGCATGGGAGTGGTAAAAGAAGCTGAACACAACTTACAGTGCCAAGTCATATTTGTTGCAGCTACCTGAAAACACACAAAAATATATTATTTTACAGGACACCTGTCATGAAGTTTAAACCTCCATCAGAACTATCAAAAACTGCAGTCATATTCCTCATCCTGAAGGTGTACAACAATATAGCTACACCAACATTGATTACAACAAAGTAGATGTGTAAGATGCCTGTTAGACTATTCAAAACATTTTATTACACAAATAAGTCAAAGTTAGGTAACGTTGGGCTGGTAGCATCCATAAATTCTTATCGTAGCAATAACAAAAAAATTAATACAAAAAAATTAACCAGCTAATTCAACTTGCAGAGAATAGCTTTCAGTTAGCCTAAGGCACAACACGTGGAGTTAGCTTCTGCTTTCACTCACAACACTGACACAGCTCCAGCACAGATTTCGAGTTTTTATTGAGCAGTACATGATACCTTACTATCCACCGCTGCACGTTGGGCTCAACCAGTGTTTTACAACTACATTAGCCTAGCCATGTAGCCTATACAGCTAGCTAACTGGCGGGATGACTTTGCATGTTAGCTTGCTAACCTAACGGTTAACCGTTTTACATTGCTAACGTGACTCACTTTGTCCGTCTTAAAAACACGTTGAACCTCCAGAAACAAACATTCAAGCAAGTTTTATGTTGACTACTTACATTCACAACTCATTTGTGCAGAGCTGAGTGTTACCCTCCGGTCTCCCGCTCTTCTCCTCGGCTCCGGTCTGCTGCCTGAAGAGGAAGTGCACGCAAATACTTCAAAATAAAATATGTGAGCGCATATATGTAATTTATTAACTAGCCAACCTTGTAACAAGCAAACTATTAACAATTAATTATTTATAAACGTATATACACGTGTGTGTGTGTTATATTTTATATATACAAAATCTGATGCAATTGATTTATTCTCAATTCGTTCTTAATTTGATTCATTTGTTCTTTCAAAATAAGACATAAATTCATGTTTAATCCATATAGTTTTAATTTTAAAAAATAATAATTTTAAGTAGCAGTTACAGTGGGGAAAAAAAGTATTTAGTCAGCCACCAATTGTGCAAGTTCTCCCACTTAAAAAGATGAGAGAGGCCTGTACTTTCATCATAGGTACATGTCAACTATGACAGACAAATTGAGGAATTTTTTTCTCCAGAAAATCACATTGTAGGATTTTTAATGAATTTATTTGCAAATTATGGTGGGAAATAAGTATTTGGTCACCTACAAACAAGCAAGATTTCTGGCTCTCACAGACCTGTAACAACTTCTTTAAGAGGCTCCTCTGTCCTCCACTCGTTACCTGTAATAATGGCACCTGTTTGAACTTATCAGTATAAAAGACACCTGTCCACAACCTCAAACAGTCACACTCCAAACTCCACTATGGCCAAGACCAAAGAGCTGTCAAAGGACACCAGAAACAAAATTGTAGACCTGCACCAGGCTGGGAAGACTGAATCTGCAATAGGTAAGCAGCTTGGTTTGAAGAAATCAACAGTGGGAGCAATTATTAGGAAATGGAAGACATACAAGACCACTGATAATCTCCCTCGATCTGGGGCTCCACGCAAGATCTCACCCCGTGGGGTCAAAATGATCACAAGAACGGTGAGCAAAAATCCCAGAACCACACGGGGGGACCTAGTGAATGACCTGCAGAGAGCTGGGACCAAAGTAACAAAGCCTACCATCAGTAACACACTACGCCGCCAGGGACTCAAATCCTGCAGTGCCAGACGTGTCCCCCTGCTTAAGCCAGTACATGTCCAGGCCCGTCTGAAGTTTGCAGAGTGCATTTGGATGATCCAGAAGAGGATTGGGAGAATGTCATATGGTCAGATGAAACCAAAATAGAACTTTTTGGTAAAAACTCAACTCGTCGTGTTTGGAGGACAAAGAATGCTGAGTTGCATCCAAAGAACACCATACCTACTGTGAAGCATGGGGGTGGAAACATCATGCTTTGGGGCTGTTTTTCTGCAAAGGGACCAGGACGACTGATCCGTGTAAAGGAATGAATGAATGGGGCCATGTATCGTGAGATTTTGAGTGAAAACCTCCTTCCATCAGCAAGGGCATTGAAGATGAAACGTGGCTGGGTCTTTCAGCATGACAATGATCCCAAACACACCGCCCGGGCAATGAAGGAGTGGCTTCGTAAGAAGCATTTCAAGGTCCTGGAGTGGCCTAGCCAGTCTCCAGATCTCAACCCCATAGAAAATCTTTGGAGGGAGTTGAAAGTCCGTGTTGCCCAGCGACAGCCCCAAAACATCACTGCTCTAGAGGAGATCTGCATGGAGGAATGGGCCAAAATACCAGCAACAGTGTGTGAAAACCTTGTGAAGACTTACAGAAAACGTTTGACCTGTGTCATTGCCAACAAAGGGTATATAACAAAGTATTGAGAAACTTTTGTTATTGACCAAATACTTGTTTTCCACCATAATTTGCAAATAAATTCATTACAAATCCTACAATGTGATTTTCTGGAAAAAATGTTCTCATTTTGTCTGTCATAGTTGATGTGTACCTATGATGAAAATTACAGGCCTCTCATCTTTTTAAGTGGGAGAACTTGCACAATTGGTGGCTGACTAAATACTTTTTTTTCCCCCACTGTACATAAAAATGAAAAATGTTCATGTTATTCAAAAATTACAAGTTCAATAAACTCAAAAAGAAGAACATTGCTACTGGCACTCAACATTTAAGTACAACTTTTAAGAACATTTAAAGTTTACACTACTTATTACAATTAATTATTTTGAACATTCGGGTTTACAGTGTACTACTGCATCAAAGGAATCATCTTAGTGTGTTTCAGAAATGAACAGAATATGAATGTTTTCTGATGTTTCATGATCCTTATTTCTCAGGCTACATATTTTCAATGGGCTATTTTTAGTCATTTTCTGGGTTGCTTGTTTGTTTTTAGTACTATTCTGAGAGGCTGATCTGAGCTAGACATGTCCGTGACATTTACATTTGAGCCAATGGCACTGAGTGGGCTGCCCATAGTGAACCTCTCCCTAAAGCATACAGTTTAAGTGCAAACAGTGGAATTAAATTCAATGAGCATATGATTATTGCTGACAATACCCTCAGAGCTAACAGTTAAAGGAACACAAATTAGGTTACTTACATTGACTGCACTTCTATTTCTCCGGGATATAATATGATTTCCATGTCCCCTGTTGCTTATTATGACAGGGAGGACTGGAGCACTATCAAACCCATACTGAAGCCTGTTTTCCACCAGAATAAGGTCAATTACAGTCTCAAATTTATTTTTCAACTAAACATAGAACAGGCAAACCATATATTATATGTTTATGTACCTCATTGGTGCAAACCATGCCCCTGCCATGTGTGCTGACAGAGCTGAAGATGATC